TTATCTCTCTTTCCTTCTTTTCTTCCTTCTTCCCTTCTTTCGCTTGTCTTTGACTCTGTCTTACTAAATGCATCTTTCGTCATTCCTTCCCTCCTTCATTCTTATCTCTCTTTCCTTCTTTTCTTCCTTCTTCCCTTCTTTCGCTTGTCTTTGACTCTGTCTTACTAAATGCATCTTTCGTCATTCCTTCCCTCCTTCATTCTTATCTCTCTTTCCTTCTTTTCTTCCTTCTTCCCTTCTTTCGCTTGTCTTTGACTCTGTCTTACTAAATGCATCTTTCGTCATTCCTTCCCTCCTTCATTCTTTATCTCTCTTTCCTTCTTTTCTTCCTTCTTCCCTTCTTTCGCTTGTCTTTGACTCTGTCTTACTAAATGCATCTTTCGTTATTCCTTCCCTCCTTACCGTATTTCTTTCATTATTTACACCCTCTTCGGCCTTGATGTTCGTTCTTCCAAAGTGAAGTAGAACGATTCTGGAAACCCGTGCACTGTCCTTGCCGCCCAGACGTTGCACCCGGACTCTTGTCTCGGCTTGTCCGTCCCCAGGGCACAATCTTATCCCTGTGCAAGTAACACAGCTGCACTGCGTCTGAACTCTAACGAGAACGGCGACCAAATGTTATATTTTCAGGTTTCACAGCTATGCATCATGAACGTGCGTGGTGTCACTGCACAACCGGCTTCAAGGTTATGAAAAGAAATGCTAAATAAACAAGACAAATAACATGGATCTAATTCTTGTAATCACGTTTACCATGTGTCTTCAGAACAGCTGGGAAATCGTGGCACAAGGACCAACGGTGATGCTACGACAAGGAACAATCAGAGGGGTAAGCATCTACTGCCACTTTTCACCTCAAACGTAAGTCAAGGGCGGACTTTGGTATTAGATATATTCAAATTACCAGCGAATATCATATGACTCAAAAATTAAACTTAATCACTCACCATGGAGGAAGCATTCATTGAGACCGGTAGCGAGTACGCTTTTAAACTCAGTCTGAGCGTATTAAAAGTTAATTGACAAATCTGTTAGAAAATAATGGGTCAGGTTGAATAAGGTTAGGTTAGTGATGTGCAATCGCAGACGACCTTAAGCAATAGTCAGCTGGTAAATGTTAGATTTGTTTGAATTAGTTTTGTTGGGTTAGGTTACGTTAGTTTAGGTTTGTTTCATGCATGCGCAGACAATCTTTACAGTCGGGGTAAGATTTAAAAAAAAATCATTATACAAATATTTATAAGTTGGTATAGTTGCGTCATATTGTGAAGATATATATTTAATTAATTATTCTTGTCCGTCTATTCACAATTTAAAATTTAAAATTTAAAATTAAGATAATTAAAATATCATGTGATGTTCCTTATCGAAACATTCGATTTACAGTTTAGAACATCTTTTTCTTACGACATGTTTCGGTTCTTAAATGAACCATCTTCAGGTGTATATTAAAATTATATAAACTTAAAACTTAATCGTAATTTCTTATATGCAACTTTTTTATAGTTGTTTATCAGTTAATAGTGCACTTCCAGAACATCACATGATATTTTAATTATCTTAATTTTAAATTTTAAATTTTAAATTTTGAATAGACGGACAAGAATAATTAATTAAACAAATATTTATATGAAGTATATTTCTACGAGACTGTGACCTTTGAACAATGTTGCCAGTGTACAAGAATGCAATCCTGATGCAATATATCGGCATTTCGTAGTACGTTGAAGAGGAATTCCTCACAAGACTGCAGTTTTGTCTCTTTTCGTGATATAAAATGTCGCTACGCCGTTGGTATTTTTGGATCCAAGTATAGTAGACTCAATTTCTGTTTCTGAATAGTGTAATAAACCTGTGACGAAGCTGTAATCACAGCTGATAACAAACGTGACTGTCGTAACACACGTTGTCTCATTACAGATCAATGTCTACACAGACGACAGGCAGACAATCAACGCCTTCTTGGGCGTGCCATACGCTGCCCCTCCGACAGGAGACCTAAGGTTTTCTGTAAGTATCCTGGAAGGCTAATTCTCTCTGCAATTTCCCTATATCTGACCACATATGTTGACTGACTAATAGGCTAACCAACAGGTTGACTGTTCATCCTGACAAAAATTTCTAAACCATAAAACATTTCAGGGTTCTAAAATCAATGGAGTTAGTATTTCACGTAAACCATGGTGACAGTAATCACAGAAAATTAAAAGGTACAAACGTGAAATGGTTTCTAATTACATGATGACGACGCGACTGTCAAGTTTCATGAAAATCTGTCACTTGGTTCAAATGTTATTACGGTTGTCAGTAATACCTAGACAGTAAAGAGAGCCCACAGTTGGACACACACACGTCAGTATATTACAGAATGAACCTTTGTCGATAATCGATACGTGTTCAATTCTTCAGTCGTTTCAGTCATCCCCGTCTAGCACCGCTTCAACTGTTCTTGACTACAAGAAACTTGACTTCAGCCAGTAACCTGCATTCCGCACCTCCAGACCTCAGCGCCGCTTACAAAATACAACTTAGACAGCATGAGGTCTGATAAATAATGAATAATTAATGAGGTGCTGGAAAGATGGCGCTCCTTCCGGGATACGAAGTACGAGAATTAAAGGAGAAGGAACCTGTGGAAAGGAAGTGGGAGGAACGGGATAGAATTGTGTGAGACATCCGTTCATGAAGCAACGTAGAACGCAGGAATTACAGCAAAATCCGTTCTGCCTGGTATTCTAATTCACTGGTTTACGAAATAACTGCTTTCTTAACATGTAAAGGTATCGGACAAGTGTAGAAAGCAACTGCGTACATCATCATAATGCGTAACTTACTACTTTACGCGCCTCATACATCGTTGTATTAACAACACTAATATGTTATATGAAAGCGATCACAACACATCTACACTAAATTATCAGAAATTTTGGTTCCTTAAAGCTTTATAAAATATAACACATCGAACGCTTACCGTGACAGTTGTGGGCCCGTGTTTCAACGACTTTGTCATATGTTATACTGGGGTCTCGGGTTTGATTCCCGGCGGTGCCCGAATTTATAACTCGTGTTGGGCAAGGCCGTGGTCTAGGCAACACGGAGTTTTCCTCCGGGGCTTTCCCGGTTTCTCCGTGGCATCCCAACAATTACTCCATTCACACACAGAAGAAGGCAATGGCAAACCACTTCTGGATCATCTGCCAAGAACGTATATGAACAGGTCCCAGTCCGAGAAGAGAAAAGGATGGAAGGATCCTGTTCATATGGACCTGTCGCCAGACAGAACACTAAATAAAAAATAAAAATATGAGTAGTAAGCCCACATTGTTACCGAGGAAAAATTTAACAAATTCTTACATTTCATATAAGTTTTTATTGGCCGAAAGCTTCTGATATATAACGCTCAATATCATATGAAGAAACTGTTATTACATAAATAATCTTCACCAAGGCTCAAACCCAGGACTCTCTGCCCTGTATTCTACCCCCCCCCCAAAAAAAAATAATCATTTTGTTCTTGAGTCCCTTCTGTCGTGCTTAGCTTCCGAGCTACAAGAACCACCCTCCATGGATCCGAACTCAGGATACTTAGCAGTTTCACCATTCTAAAATCTCTTCTAGGTTTAAAGGCATAAGATAACAATTACGGTTTAAATTGGTTTGTTCCTTCTTTAACTACAAACGATCATACACCCACAAACCCACGTGTTTCGATTACAGCCATCGCTTTTTACAGTATCTTATGTAGGAGACGAAATGAGGGCCACGATGCCATGTACGAAGATACACTGGCCTCCATCTTATTTTACCAAACACATTTAATGCGATACACGTAAACGAAATTCGCCATGAACTGCATTAATATAACATGTAACATTAATTTCCTGGCTGTAGGCCTGTAAAGTGTTGTCTGATATGTGTTTGAATTGCAGTATCTGCAAGGCCAGTAATGTAGTTTATTATTATTATTTAGTGTTCTGTCTGACGACAGGTCCATATGAACAGGATCCTTCCATCCTTTTCTCGGACTGGGACCTGTTCATATACGTTCTTGGCAGATGATCCAGAAGTGGTTTGCCATTGCCTTCTTCTGTGTGTGAATGGAGTAATTGTTGGGATGCCACGGAGGAAAACTCCGTGTTGCCTAGACCACGGCCTTGCCCAACACAAGTTATAAATTCGGGCACCGCCGGGAATCGAACCCGAGACCCCAGGATTACAAGCCCAGCGTTCTAACCGCTAGACCACCGTGGCGGTGTAGTGTAGATATGTAAAATAAAATTAAAAAAAACGTGTTTGTAAAATACCTTCCCACTCCTGATATACAGATCACGTAAACATTCTGTGATGTGCTTGGTGTTTGTATGATTACAGCCACCAGAACGCCTCTCTGGCTGGAATCGTTCCTCTCTTTTCGCTGGTAGCTTTGCCTCTGCTTGTCCCCAGCTTCAAGAAATTTCCAGCATGGCCCCGATACCTCAAGACGAAGACTGCCTGTATCTAAACATCTGGACACCAGAGGTATGGGCTAGCGAGTTAGCATGGCGGTAGTACCCGAAACTTCGACCAAATAATCTATATCCCAATGACTTTCACGATTTTCATAAGAATTCACATTTATTGAAATAAGTTGTAAAGCGCCATGAAAAATCAGTTGATCGGCCAAGAACTTGCCCTCTTTTATAAAAACCTGAAGGCTTATTAGATTATTCACAGAAGCATGGACCCTGTTCAGAGACGTTTGAAGTTTAATCTGCAGCTCTACCAACTATTTTCAACCCAAAATATTATATTAATCTCTTGTTTCCACCATAAAAGTTACCTCCTCCACTCATCTTATTCGACTCAATATTTACAGACAGCAGCGAACTTCCGAGGAAGTATACCTGTTGTTATTCTTCTGGAAGGAGAAGGGTTCGTATCCGGCCTAGTGTCACGATTTCCAGGGCAGGATCTAGCAGCTGAAGGCGTCATTGTCGTCTCTGTCACATACCGACTTAATGTTTTTGGTAAGTGAAAAAGAACAAACTTAGCCGAGATGTTAAGAAACCAACCATTTAAAACAAAGGAGTTAAAAACTTTAAAACATAACTGTAAAACTTTTCAGGAGTTGCTGGTAGTAAACTGAATGTACCGTAGATTTTGGTAGAATTCATTTAGCAAAATGGAGGAAATAACGCGGCAGATAGGAGCTGGTGAGATATTTATCTTTTAAACCGTGATTTGAAACCTTCATTCCAGCTTGCTTCCCGACTCCACAAAAATCTGTTCACATGTCTCATATCCTCGCACTGCATACAAACATTTAGGAGAGCGAGTCACCGTTTTCGTTATAGAAAACAATCGATAGTCTCATAACTGCACACATCGAAAGTGTTATCCAAACTCCTGAGGGTCATTTTTCCATCTAGCTTGTGTCTAAAAATAATTGTCTTCTGGGTTGTTGCGCCGTATAGTGTAGTAGCAATTTACAGACTTTTCAGAGGTCCTTTCTGCCACCATCATAAGGGCGACAAGTAAGCCGTGTGAAAGCAGCGAGCAACTTTAAAATGTCTGTCAGTTTCTACCAGACTACACAGCGCAACATCCAAGAAGACAAACAAACATGTTACTAGTCGCCATAAAGAACTGAAATCACACAAACTCCGGCTTACAACAAAATGGACGTAAAAGTGCACAGCTGATAGACGTCGTCTGTGAACGAAACGCGTATTTTTAATGCGTGTGGCCGAAACCGTCCGTACAGTTTCCTGTATTGCTGTTTCTGTCGCCAGGATTCTTCTGTTTAGAAGACTCCGAGGCAAGAGGAAATCTCGGTTTGCTGGACCAATACTTTGCGCTGCTGTGGGTACGGGAGAATATCGAACTGTTTGGCGGAGACCCCCGGAGCATCACTTTGATGGGGCACTCGGCAGGCGCCGCCAGTGTCATGTACCACATGACGTCACCACGAACCGCAGGTACTCCCAGCATGCAACTAATTAAAACTAAGTGACGTGTCTCTAAACCGCCGAAGTACAGAGTTTTATTCTACGCTTTAATGCGTTCTTTGCAAGTGCAGAACGTAGTATGGACAGACGCCCTGCTTCTCAGACCGGGCTCCGTCTACCAGCCCGATTGCTCGTATTCTAAAGGACTAAACGGGTTTCGATTAAATGTCGTGGTCGGAGTCTACAATAAAAGACGTCTTGCGAATTTCATTCTGGATCGTATTTACCTATCACAGGTCTACCGATTTCCTGTCTAGATGGACGGCAGATGAATGGAAGAAAGCATAATTTAAGGTACTTTACTGGCATTTAACTGGAAGGAGTGAGAAAAACCACGAAAACCTCAATCACTACAGCCGGTTTTCGGAACAAAGTTTGAATCTGGGACTTCTCGAATATCGCGCAGAAATACTAACCATTCGACGGCGATTTTCGGTGTCATGTTATTATTCTAACTATAAAAAAATAACTTAAAAATGATTTGTGATGTTTTAAACACTTTTTTCATATAATTTCACTACTCCCGCTCGTGTCGCTGATTCATCAAAATTCACACGGAAGCTATGTTCGTGTTATCGATAATGGGGAATTAAACAGTAGAATTGCGGAATATGATTAAGGTGCGAGATAGTCATACCAAGTTTCATGAAAAACTGTCCAATGTTTTGAATATTTTACAAGTCAGACAGATAGGTTTACATGCCTGTACACTATGAAATGGCCTTCATCTGCCTCTTCTTACATACATACGTAGCGCATAAGATTACATTTTCTAATTTAAAAATTTCAAAGATTTTATTAAACTGAATTTGTTGGATTCAAATCACATTTATTCCTGAATTCGACCTTTTTGATAAATTAATTCCCTGCCCAGTTCATGTGCAATAAAGTTCATATTTTATTGATTATAACTGGTTCTTTGTAAGGGAGTTTGTAATGAAGTAATAAAGCGCAATTATGCTTCAGTACAACGTCCAAATTAAAATTCAGCAAAAAGGCTCTTTAATGAACTATTCCAAAAACAGACTGCACAGACGAGTAGGCTGAGAGAATTTCATGAAAGGATGTCAGGACGTGTTCGTCTGAAGACTAGGCCTGCGTGGGTTCAAACAGACCTGTGCTTTTTGTAAAGCTTAGCTCATACTGTCATGAATATTCGAACGACCTGACAAGCTTTTGTAATCTCTGGCCTAATTCAGTACTACTTATGCTGTAACTAAAACGATTAAGTTTAATTTCGTACTTCAAACTGTTTTCGTTCATTATCTTATTATTTTCCTGTTCCATTTCCATTGTTTTCCGTCCTTCATGCGTAAGGACACTTCTGCTGGCCATCTATAGCAGAATCTTCGCTGAGTGGCCATCAATAGTCAGTAAAGTTCAGCTCCTAACGTGTCACTCTTTTGAAGATTTCTCTTTTCTCAGTTGTTGCGCCGTGTAGTATGATAGATGTTTACCGACGTTTCAGAGGTCATACTGTCTCCGAAACGTTGGTTAACATCGACCAGACTACACAGCGCAACAACCCAGAAGACAGAAATCTTCATACTCATCGCCCTGATGATGGAGGCA